GAATAGAATAGAATTTCATTTGCCCTTGTAGCAAAATTGTTTCCTATTGCAAAAACCAAGAAAATGAAAATATCCCAGTTACACTCTGCACCTTTTTTTTTTTAGCAGTTTTGTTAGAAGTAGTTAGGTTTGACTTAGCATGACTATGACTTTTGTTTTAATGTGATGCCATAAACAAACTTTGAAAAGCTAATCTGTATGATAAAAAACTTCAAATATAGATGTTCAGAGACATTTGAGAGAACCAACTCATTCAGCATCTTTGTAGTTTCTTTGGAAAAGTTTCCAGTACCAAGTGACTGTGGAGTCCTATAGGATACAAGAAAGGATTTATCATACATATGAGTATTTTTTCACAGCCGGTTTTAACTAGAATGATTAAAAGTGACAAGGTTGGGTGCATCTCTTTGTTTTGGCCATTACACATAGCATGTTGACTCTGTTTTGGGATTTTACAGCCCAAGGGAGCTGGTATTTTTTTACTCTCTGAGCTTTTAGTAGACTAATGTATTTGTTACTATGATCCTTTTCAGACTTTCCCACTCACGAAATTATAATCTGCAGTACTGCTGCAGAGTTTTTTAAAGGCTAGTGAATATTAAATATGTCTTCATTATCATCTCCATAGCAAGTAGTGCCGAAAATGTTATTTTAGTCTGTTAATAGTCTACTAGGTTACTTAATGATAGTGTTCAAGACTCTCCTTCTCGAAAGAGCCCAGCCACACCCCAAACTGATTATTTTTCATTATCTGCACTTGAAAATTATCATAGACTGTTTGTTACATTTTCTTTTTAGCTTTTATATGGTGTAAGCTTTATCCTACCAAGACTGAACATTCATGTACAAGTTTTCATAAAAACATATATTTTTATTTCTCTTGGGTATATACCAAAGAGTGGAGTTGCTGGGTCACATAATAACCCTGTGTTTTTGAGGAACTGCCAGACTCTTCCTAAGTGGCTGCATCATTTTACAATTCCATTGGGAGTATGTGAAGGTTCCATATTCTATACATCCTAATACTTATTTTGAACTGTCTTAAAAAAATTTAAATATATTAATATCCCTTTTTTTTTTTTTTTTGAGAGAGAGAAAATGCGAGCAAGTGGGGGAGAGGCAGAGTGAGAGAACCTCAAGCAGGCTCCACACCTAGTGTAGAGCCCAACACTGCACTGGATCTCACGACCATGAGATCATGACCTGAGCCGAAATCAGGAGTTCCTTTTTTTTTTTTAATTGAAGCCTTTTTTTAAATTGAAGTGTAGTTGACACACAATGTGACTTCAGTTTCAGGTGAACAGAAAGTCTATATGTTATGCTATGCTTGCCACAAATATAATTATCATCTGACACCATGCAGTGCTATTACAAGACCACTGACCCTGTGCTGTACTTTTTATCCCCAAGACTCATTCATTTCATAATTGGAAACCTGTTATCTCCTACTCCCCTTCACCCATTTTGTCCATCCCCCATCCTGCCACCCTCTACTACTGTCAGTTTGTCCTCTGTATTTATGGATCTGATTTTGCTTTTTGTTTGTTTGTTTTGTTTTTTAGATTCCACATATAAGTGAAATCATATGGGGGCCACCTGGCTGGCTCAGTCAGTGGAGCATGAGACTCTTGGTCTCAGGGTTGTGAGTTCAAGCCTGACATTGGATGTAGAGATTACTTAAAAGAAATAAATAAACTTAAAAAAAAAGAAATAAAAAGAAATCATATGGTATTTGTCTTTCTCTATCTGACTTATTTCATTTAGCATAATACCCTCTCGGTCCATCCATGTTGTTGCAGATGTCAAGATTTCATTCATTTTTACGGCTGAGTAATATTCCATTATCCACCCCCCCCCCCCACTAAAATCTTGGATTGTGAGTAACTTGGTCTGTGAGTGTTGCGCAGGAGGAGCAAACATTTCTCGTAAACTTTAACTTGATAAATGAGTGATGTCTTGCAATACAAGTAGTACATGATGCGGAACATCACATGATCACAGCTGAGCCAGTGGTTCTGATATACAGGTACTTTGGATTACAAGCCTGTTTCTGGAACAAATTGTGCTCACAAACCAAGGTTTTACTATGTATATTTATATCCCCCACATCTTTTTTTTTTAAGTTATTGATTTTTAGAGAAAGGGTGTGTGTGTGACTGGGGAGAAGGAGAGAGAGAATCCTAAGTAGGTTCTGCACTGTTAGTTCAGAGCCCAACTTGGGACTTGATCTGACGAATCATGAGATCATGACCTGAGCTGAAATCAAGAGTCAGATGCTTAACCGACTAAGCCATGCAGGTACCCCATATATACCATGTCTTTTTTATCCATTCATTTATTGATTAACGCTTGGGTGGCTTCCATAGTTCCATATCTTGGTTATTGTAAAAAATGCTGCAAGAAACAGGTACATATGTCTTTTTGAATTAGTACTTCCATATTCTTTGGGTAAATACCCAGTAGTGGAGTTACTGGACCATATAGTAATTCCATTTTTAATTTTTTGAGGAACCTCCATACTGTTTTCCAGAGTGGCCACACAAGTTTGCATTCCCACCAGGAGTGCTTGAGGGTTCCTTTTCCTCCACATCCTTGCTAACATTTGTTATTTCTTGTCTTTTTGATTCTAGCCATGTGACAGGTGTGAAGTGATACCTCATTGTGGTTTTGATTTGCATTTGTGTGATGATGAGTGATGTTGGGCATCTTTTCATGTGTCTGCTATATGATGTCTTTTTGATTATAGCTGTGTTAGTGGGGTTAGAGTAGTAACCTTATTGTAGTTTTGATTGCATTTCCCTACTGGCTAATGATGCTGAGCATCTTTGCCTGTGCTTATTAACCACTTTTATATATTTGAGGAACAAAGCTTTTAAATTTGATTAAATCCATTTTATCTGTTTTTCCTTATAAAGCTTATTGCTTTTGCTTTGGTGTTACACCTGAGAAACCATTGCCAAATCCAACGTTACTAAGAGTCACTCTTGTGTTTTCTTCTAAGAGTTTTATAAGTTTCAGCTCTTACATTTAGGTCTATGAATGATTTTGAATTGAATTTTGTATATGATGTGAGTAGGAATCAAACTGCATTCTTTTTTCAACGTTTTTATTTATTTTTGGGACAGAGAGAGACAGAGCATGAACGGGCGAGGGGCAGAGAGAAAGGGAGACACAGAATTGGAAACAGGCTCCAGGCTCCAAGCCATCAGCCCAGAGCCTGACGCGGGGCTTGAACTCACGGACCGCGAGATCGTGACCTGGCTGAAGTCGGACACTGAACCGACTGCGCCACCCAGGCGCCCCTCAAACTGCATTCTTATGCATGTGGACATCCAGTTGTCCTATGACCATTTATTGAAAAGTCTGTTCTTTCCCCCCATTGAATTGTCTCGGCACTCTTGTCAAAAATCATTTGCCCAAAATATGAGGGTTTATTTCTGGATTCTCAATTCTTCTCCATTGATCTTTTAGTTTGTTTTATACCAGTACCACACTGTCTTAATTACTGTTGCTTGGTTTTAGAATTGGGAAAACGTGTCCTCCAAATTTGTTCTTTTTCAATATTGTTTTAGCTATTCTTTGTCCTTTGAATTTCCATATGGATTCTAGGATAAGCTTGTCAATTTCTGCAGTTCAGCTAAGATTTTGATAGGTGTTGCATAGAATCTGTAGATCAGTTTGGAGAATATTGCCATCTTAACAATACTGTCTTTCAGTCCATGAACATGAGATGTTTTTCCATTTATTTAGATCTTCTTTACTTTCAACAATCTTTTATAATCTTCAGAGTATAAGTTTTACATGTCTTTTATTAAACTTATTCCTATGTATTTTTTTTAAGTTTATTTATTTTTTTAATGCTTATTTATTTTTGACAAGAGAGAGAGACAGAGCATGATGGGGGAGGGGCAGAGAGAGAAGGAGACACAGAATCCAAAGCAGGCTCGAGGCTCTGAGCTGTCAGCACAGAGCTCGATGCAGGGCTTGAACTCACAGACCACGAGATCACAACCTGAGCCGAAGTCGGATGCTCAACCGACTGAGCCACCCAAGCACCCCTTAAGTTTATTTTGAGAGAGAATGTGAGTGGAGGAGGGGCAGAGAGAGGGAGAGAGAGAATCCCAAGCAGGCTCTGTGTTGTCAGCGCAGAGCCTGACGTGGGGCTCAGTCTCATGAATCATGAGATCGTGACCTGAGCTGAAATCAAGAGTCTGTTGCTTAACTGACTGAGCCACCCAGGCACCCCAGTATTATATTCTTTTTGATGCTACTGTAAGTGGAATTTTTAAAAATTTTTCAGGTTCCTTATAAGTATAGTGGGCAATTTATTTTTTAATGTATTAATTCTACCAGAAGTCTTCAGAAATAAGTATACCATATTTTAGAAGTAGAAAAGCAGTGTTTCAGTTAGTTTTGATTATTTTTGAATAATCAATAACTTGGTTTCAAGTTATATCATAGAAATCCTTGAGACTATTTTCATGGATTTATTTCTGATATTTGTGGCAAAAAGATGTTACTTTCCAGCACATAGCTATAAAATCTAGTAAAGGGTTTTCTTTCACGGGTGTACAATTATTCGGTTATTTCCTTGTCTTAATTTTCTAACTCTCCAGTTATTCAGTATTTAGATTAATGGACTGGGAAACCTATTTTTACTACAGAAAGAATGACACAATAGAATCCCATGCACTTATCACTTTGCTGCATCATTTACCAACTCATGGCCTCTACTCCTTAGATTGTTTTGCAATAAATCCAGACATTTCATCTGTAAATTATAGGTGTATTTTTATAAGACAGATTTACTCTTTGTAACCGACTTATATTGGAGGAAAACCTGCTTTAATGGACTTTGCTTGAGAAGATGGTTAATTTATTAGGGTAGAGAAGTCAATAACTAAATTTTGTTTTTATTTTGTTACACAGGAGTCCAGAAATTACATAAAATGGATATTTCTCACACTAGATACTGAATATTAAGTAAAATCTAAGTTGCTATGGAAGAAATACCAGTAAAAGTTGCTGTAAGAATCCGACCTCTGCTATGCAAAGAAGTTCTTCATAATCATCAAGCTTGTGTGAGAGTTATTCCAAACACCCAGCAAATTATCATTGGGAGAGATAGAGTCTTTACTTTTGATTTTGTTTTTGGCAAGAATTCCACTCAAGATGAAGTTTATAATGCATGTATAAAGCCACTAGTGTTGTCGCTCATTGAGGGCTATAATGCAACCGTTTTTGCCTATGGACAAACTGGATCCGGGAAGACCTACACCATTGGAGGAGGCCATGTTGGTAAGATTCTCGTCCTACCTTTGACTTTTATTTGAGACACTAGAATCAAGCTAAAATATAGTAGGTGCTCAGCATATTAATTGAATGAAATAAAGGATAGTCAGATGAGTTCATAAGATCATCATCTTTGAAAGATTTATTTTTAAATATTGGTGTTTTAGTCAACAGTTTTTTATTGTATTTGCTTGAGGAAACAAGTTTAAGATAATGTTCAGTGTTCAGCCCTTTCCATTTTTTTCCAGTCTTATTGAGATATAATTGACATATACCATTATATTAGTCCAAGGTGTACAATATAATGATTTCTATACATGTATATATTGCAAAATGATTACCACAGTAAGTTTAGTTCACATCGATCACATCATATAGTTCTAAATTTCTTTTTGTTGGATAAGAACTTTTAAGAGCTAATATTTTAGCAGCTTTCAAATACACAATACAGTGTTGTTAACTGCAGTCACCAATATTGTATATTATTACATCCTCAGAACTTAGTTATAACTCAGAGTTTTTACATCTTGACCACCTTCACCCATTTCCCCCACTCCCTGCCTCTGACAAACCTTTGTCATTTTGAACAGAACTTCAAGTAGAAAGAAATGAGTTAACATGACCAGATTTTGGTCTTTTAACATAGTCCACTTGTAAATATCAGAGTCTTACAACCAAGACTTAGAGGCAGTAGGTAGAATTTGTTATGTGGTTTAAAGTGTCTTTTTTCCCCCTATTTTTTAGCCAATTTTTATTTTATTTTTTCAGCTTTATAGAGGTACAATTGACAAATAAAATTGTACGATATTTAAAGTGTGCATCATGATGATTTGATGAATGTAAACGTTGTCAAAGGATTCCTCCAATGTAGTTAACACATCCATCACCTCACATATAAATACAGATTTCTGTTTTAAATACTGAATATTTTAGAATATAGTTTCTCCTGCTTGTAATTCTAGTTTGGAAAAGGCGAAATTGTTAGGATTTCTTGTAGAGCTGGAAGGAACCTTGAAAATCATCTCTCTTTATTTATAAGTGAGGAGCTCCAGCCATGGAGCAATCACTGAAGGGCTTGCTCAGCTAGAGGGCTAGTGACAGCTGGGATTGAATGCCAAGTCCTCTTTTTTTTTTTTTTAACTTTTTTAATGTTTATTTATTTTTGAGAGAGAGACAGAGTACACCAGGGGGATGGGGCAGAGAGAGAGGGAGACACAGAATCTGAAGCAGGCTCCAGGCTCTGAGCTGTCAGCACAGAGCCCGACGTGGGGCTTGAACTCACGGACTGTGAGATCATGACCTGAGCCGAAGTCGGATGCTCAACCGACTGAGCCACCCGGGCGCCCCGCCAAGTCCTCTTTTGAGGCCTTGTTTACTGTATTGATTTTTTTTTTTTACTAAATGCAAACTTTTGAATGTTGTACATATATATGTATTATTGTCTAAAATTATTGCTACGTTCTGTATACGTGTAATGACTCTTAATGTATTTTCTACTTTCCTGCTTCTCAAATATAGAATATGTGACTCTCAGAAACATCTCTTATTACATGTAGGGACTGGTGAGGGGTAGAGTTGGAGTCTGGCTGAGTTGAGGAAGCCCTGATTGCAAAGATTAAATGGAGAGGCCGTTAGTGCCCAGTACCCCCCCACACCACCATTTTTAGAATCAGTATGACATAGGATTAAGAGGTTGAAGATACTAGGTTATTTTAGGGTCTCAAAAAATTCAAATTTTCTGTTATAAGTTGTGGGTTTTTTTTGTTTTTTGTTTTTTGTTTTTTTTTAGGGCTATAGCCCCTTTTTTAATTGGCAAATGTTTTGTGATCTTTAAGACTCAGTATGTTCTTTTTACTAATAGGAGTTATGTTTAGAGCTTGGTGACTTAAATATAGCTATATTGTTTTTTATTAAGAAGCCATACATACAATTTTAATTCTTTAAGGGAAAAAGTTATTAAGTTTATCTATTCTTGGGGCATCTGGGTGGCTCAGTCAGTTAAGTGACAGACTCTTAATTTCGGTTCAGGTCACAATCTCACTGTTTATGAGTTCAAACCCTGCATCAGGCTCTGCACTGTCAGTGCGGAGCCTGATCGGGATTCTCCCTCTCTCCCTCTCTCTCTGCCCCTCCCCCACCACCCCCGCTCTCTCTGTCTCTCAAAATAAATAAATAAACTTAAAAAAAATATTATAGCTGCTCTAAAGTACTTTATACTTGATAACACCCTTAGAAACAGTTTTTTATTTTATCCTCTCGGTTTTCTTATTCTTTTTATTTTTTTTAAGATATATTTTTAAAAATGTTTAATGTTTATTTACTATTGAGAGACAGAGAGACAGAGCATGAGCAGGGGAGGGGCAGAGAGAGGAGGAGACACAGAATTGGAAGCAGGCTCCAGGCTCCAAGCTGTCATCACAGAGCCTGACGTGGGCTTGAACTCAACGAACTCTGAGATCATGACCTGAGACGAAGTTGAACGCTCAACCGACTGAGCCACCCAGGCGCCCATCTTTTTATTTTTTAAAAGAATCATTTTTTTTTCCACCATGTTAAGTGTACTCTTTAATCCCCATCCCCTCTTTCCCCCATCACCCTACACACCTCCCGTCTGGTAACTGTCAGTTTATTCTCTATAGTTAACAGTCTGTTTCTTGGTTTGTCTCTCTTTCTTTTTTCCTTTGCTCATTTGTTTTGTTACTTAAATTCCACATATGAGTGAAATTGTATGGTATTTGTCTTTCTCCGACTGACTTATTTTGCTCAGCAGTACACACTCTAGCTCTATCCATGTCCTTGCAAATGGCAAGATTTTATTATTTTTTATGGCTGAATAATATTCCATTATATATATCTGTGGTATCTTCTTCATCCATTCATCTATTGATGGGTACTTGGGCTGCTTCCATAGTTTGGCTATTGTAAATAACACTGCTATAAACATAGGGGTTTAAACAAAGGGGTATCCCTTTGAATTACTGTTTTTGTATTTTGGGGGTAAATACCCAAAAGTGCAATTACTGGATCATTAGGCAGTTCTATTTTTAAAGTTTTGAGAAAACTCCATACTCTTTTTCCACTGTGGCTGCACCAGTTTGTATTCCCATCAACGGTGCAAGAAGGTTCCTTTTTCTCTACATCCTTACCAACACTTGTTTCTTGTGTTGTCAATTTTAGCCATTCTGACAGGTATGAGGCGATATCTCATTGTAGTTTTGATTTGCACTTCCCTGATGATGAGAGATGTTGAACATCTTTTTTTTTTTTTTTTTAGTGTTTATTTATTTATTTTTGAGAGAGATAGAAAGAGTGCGAACAGGGGAGGGGAAGAGAGAGGGAAACAGAGAATCCCAAGCAGGCTTCATGCTGTCAGCACAGAGCCCAACATGGGGCTCAGACTCATGAACTGTGAGATTATGACCTGAGCTGAAATCAAGAGTCAGTTGCTGGGGTGCCTGGGTGGCTCAGTTGGTTGAGCGTCAGACTTCGGCTCAGGTCATGATCTCATGGCTTGAGCCCCGTGGCAGGCTCTGTGCTGATAGCTCAGAGCCTGGACCCTGCTTTGGATTCTGTGTCTCCCTCTCGCTCTGCTCCTCCCCCACTCACGCTCTGTCTCTATCTCTGTCTCAAAAATAAATAAACAGTAAAAACACTTTTTTTTAACATTTATTTATTTTTGAGACAGAGAGAGACAGCATGAACGGGGGAGGGGCAGAGAGAGAGGGAGACACAGAATCGGAAGCAGGCTCCAGGCTCTGAGCCATCAGCCCAGAGCCCGACGCGGGGCTCAAACTCACGGACCGTGAGATCGTGACCTGAGCTGAAGTCGGACGCTTAACCAACTGAGCCACCCAGGCGCCCCCCCAAAAAAATTTTTTTTTAAAGAGTCAGTTGCTCAACTGACTGAACCACCCAGGTTCCCCTCGAGGATCTTTTCAGGTGTCTGTTGACCATCTGGATGTCTTCTTTGGAGAAATGTCTGTTCATGTCTTCTGCCCATTTTTAAATTGGATTATTTGTTTTTTGGGTGTTGAGTTGTATCAGTTCTTTCCATATTTTGAATACTAACCCTTTATTGGATGTCATTTGCGAATATCTTCTCTTGTTCAGTAGGGTTGCCTTTTAATTTTGTTGATTATTTCCTTTGCTGTGCAGAAGCTTTTTATTTTGATGTAGTCCCAATAGTTTGCTTCTGCTTTTGTTTCCCTTGCCTCAGGAGACGTATCTAGTAAGAAGTTGCTATGGCCAATGTCAGAGAGATTAATGGCAGTACTTTCTTGAAGGATTTTTGTGATTTCAGGCCTCACATTTAGGTTTTTAATCCACTTTCACTTTGCTTTTGTATATAGTGAAAGAAAGTGGTCCAGGTTCATTCTTTTGCATATAGCTGTCCAGTTTTCCCAACATCATTTGTTGAAGAGACTGTCTTTTTCCCATTGCATATTCTTTTCCTCCTTTGTTGAAGATAAATTGACCATATAATTGTGGGTTTATTTCTGGGTTTTCTATTCTGTTCTATTGATCTATGTGTCTGTTTTTGTACCAGTACCATACTATCTTGATTGCTAGAGCTTTGCAATGTAACGAAGTCTGGAATTGTGATTCCTCCAGTTTTGTTTTTCTTTCTTTTTTTTTACATTTTTTTATTAAATTTTTAAGATGTTTTTTATTTATTTTTTAAGAGTGAGAGACAGAGTGCGAGTGGGGGAGGGGCAGAGAGAGAGGGAGACACAGAATTCGAAGCAGGCTCCAGGCTCTGAGCTGTTGTACAGAGCCCGATGCGGGGCTTGAACCCACGAACTGTGAGATCATGACCTGAGCCAACGCCTGATGCTTAACCAATGAGCCAACCCAGGCACCCCGCTTTTTAAAAAATTTTTAAAATGTTTATTTATTTTTGAGAGAGAAAGAGAGAGATAGGCAGAATGCAAGCAGGGGAGGGGAAGAGAGGAAGGGAGACACAGAATCTGAAGCAGGCTCCAGGGTCTGAGCTGTCAGCACAGAGCCTGACGTGGAACTTGAACTCATGAACCGTGATACCATGACCTGAACTGAAGTTGGATGCTCAACCGACTGAGCTACCCAGGTGCCCCCAGTTTTGTTTTTATTTTTCAAGATATCTTTGGCTATTTAGAGTCTTTTGTGGTTCCATACAAAATTTAAGATTATTGTAGTTCTGTGAAAAATGCTGTTGGTATTTTGATAAGGATTGCATTTAATGTATAGATTGCTTTGGGTAGTATAGACATTTTCACAGTATTTGTTCTTCTAATCCATAAGCATGGAGCGTCTTTCCATTTCTTTGTGTGTCTTCAGTTTCTTTCATCAATATTTTATAGTGTTCAGAGTACAAATCTTTCACCTCTTTGGTTTAGTTTGTTCCTAGATATTTTATTTTTGGTGCAATTGTAAATGAGATTATTTAATTTTCTTTCTGCTGCTTCATAATTAGTGTATGGGAATGCAAAAGATGCCTGAACATTGATTTTGTATCTTGTGACTTTACTCAATTCATTTATCAGTTCTAGGAGTTCTTTGGTGGAGTCTTTAGCATTTTCTATATATAGTATTGTGTCATCTGCCAGTAGAGTTTTACTTCTTCCTTACCAATTTGGATGCCTTTTATTTCTTTTTGTTGTCAAATTGCTATGGCTGGGACTTCTAGTACTATGTTGAATACAAGTGGTGAGTGTGGTCATCCTTGTCTTATTCCTGACCTTCAGGGGACAAGCTCTCTGTTTTTTACCATTGAATATCTTGTTGGCTATGGGCTTTTCATATATGGCCTTTATTTTGTTGAGATATATTCCCTCTGGACCTACTTTGCAGAGGGTTTTTATCATGAATGGATGATGTTCTTTGTCAAATGCTTTTCTGCATCTGTTGAAATGATCATATGGTTTTTATCTTTTCTCTTACTGATGTTACATACCACATTGATTATTTTGCAGCTTATAAACTACTCTTGCATCCCAGGAGTAAATCCCACTTGATCGTGGTGTATGATTTTTTAAAATATATTTTTGAATTCAGTTTATTAATATTTTGTTGAGGATTGCATCCATATTCATGAGAGATCTTGGCCTGTAGTCTTTTTTGTGGTGTCTTTATCTGGTTTTGGTATCAGGGTGATACTGGCTTTATAGAATGAATTTGGAAGTTTTCCTTCCTCTTGTATTTTTTGGAATAGTTTGAGAAGAATGGATATTAGCTCTTTTTTAAATGTTTGGTACAATTCACAGTGAAGCTGTCTGGTTGTGGACTTTGTTTGTTGGGAGTATTTTGATTCCTGATTCAATTTCATTGTTAGTGATTGGTTTGTTCAAATTTGTATTTCTTCCTGCTTCAGTTTTGATAGATTATATGTTTCTAGGAATTCATCCATTTCTTCTAAGTTGTCCAGTTTGTTGGCATATAGGTTTTCATAATATTCTATTACGTTTGCTTTTATTTCTATGGTGTTGGTTTTTATTTCTTCCCTTCTGTTAGTAATTTTGTTTATTTGGGTCCTCTCTCATTTTTTAAAGGAATCTTTCTAGAAACTTATTCCCTGGCTCTTTAAAAATTATAATAATGTGCATTGTAAAAAGAATTGCAAGTGAGGCTTAAGAAATTAAATTAGGGGTGCCTGGGTGGCTCAGTTGGTTAAGTGTCAGACTTTGGCTCAGGTCATGATCTTGCAGTTTGTGAGTTTGAGTCCGGCATCGGGCTCTCTGCTGTCAGTGCAGGGCCCACTTAGGATCTTCTGTCCTCCTCTCCTGCCTCCCCCATAAAAAAATGAATAAACATTAAAAAAAAAGAAACTAAAATAAATGAAAACTAGTCTCATCCCACGGAAATAACCATCTGATGTATAGTATTCTAGAGTGCTTTAGACATTTTTCTAGGCATTTTACAAATATGCATGTAGTTTTATTCTTGTTGTTTTGTTTAATGAATTATTATACCATTATTTCTATAACTTTCTTTTTGCATTTAACAATATAAAGTATTTCATTTCTTCACTTTTGTGTCATAGAAATTTACTCATTTTTTCAGACTATATAATATTCTACAATTGGAATGGACCATAGTTCCTCCATTCCAGTTTTTATTTATTTCTGAGAGATAGATAGAGTGTGAGCAGAGGAGGGGCGGAGAGAGAGGGAGACACAGAATCTGGAGCAGGCTCCAGGCTTCGAGCTGTCAACACAGAACCCAGCGTGGGGCTCCCAACTCACAAACCATGAGATCATGACCTGAGCCGAAATCAGACACTTAACCGACTTCTTCCTTACCAATTTGGATGGCTTTTATTTCTTTACGTTGTCGAATTGCTATGGCTAGGACTTCCAGTACTATGTTGAATAAAAGTGGAACTCTTTTGCACTGCTGATAGGAATGCAAACTGGTGCAACCACTCTGGAAAACAGTATGGAGGTTCCTCAAAAAATTAAAAATAGAACTACTCTATGACCCAGCAATTGCACTACTAGGTATTTATCCAAGGGATACAAGAGTGCTGTTTCGAAGGGGCACCCCAATGTTTATAGCAGTGCTATTGACAATAGCCAAAGTATGGAAAGAGCCCAAATGTCTATTGACTGATGAAGGGATAAAGAAGATGTGGTGTATATATATACAATGGAATATTACTCGGTGATCAAAAAGAATGAAGTCTTGTCATTTGCAACAACGTGGATGGAACTAGAGGGTATTACGCTAAGCGAAATTAGAGAAAAACAAATATATGACTTCACTCATATGTGGAATTTAAGATACAAAACAGATGAACATAAGGGAAAGGAAGGAAAAATAATGTAAACAGGGAGGGGGACAAACCATAAGAGACTCTAAAATACAGAGAACAAACTGAGGGTTGCCAGCAGGGTGTTGGGTGGGGGGAAGGGCTAAAGGGGTGAGGGGCAATAAGGAAGACACTTGTTGGGATGAGCACTGGGTGTTATATATAAGTGACAACATCTGTTGTTGCCTGAGTTAATTTTAGCTATTCTGACAGGTATGAGGTCGTATCTCATGTGGCTTTGATTTGTATTTCCCTAATGATAAGTGATGTTGAGCATTTTTTCATGTGTCTGTTAGCCATCTGGATGTCTTCTTTGGAAAAGTGTCTAAACATGTCTTGCCCATTTCTTCACTGGATTATTTGTTTTTTAGGTGTTGAGTTTGATAAATTCTTTATAGATTTTGGATACTAACCGTTTATCTGGTATGTCATTTGCAGATATCCTCTCCCATTCTGTCCATTGCCTTTTAGTTTTGCTGATTGTTTCCTTCACTGTGCAGAAGCTTTTTATCTTAATGAGGTCCCAATAGTTCATTGTTGCTACTTGTTATTTTCATTTTACTTTATTTTTTTAATGCTTACTTTTGAGAGAGAGAGAGAGCAGGGGAGGGGCAGAGAGAGAGAGAGAGAGTGAGAGAGAGAGAGAGAGAGAGAGAGAGAGAGAGAGAGAGAGACAGAATCTGAAGCAGGCTCCGGGCTCTGAGCTTTCAGTGCAGAGCCCAATGTGGGATTCAAACCTACAAACTGTGAAATCATGACCTGAGCTGAAATCGGATGCTTAACCGACTGAGCCACCCAGGCACCCCTGCTGTCTGATTTTTAACTAATGCTGTTTTTTCCTCCTATAAATAATTTATCGAGCATTTGTAGTGCCTAGGGCACCATGCTAGGCCCTGAGGCAGAATAATCTTTTTTTTTCAATAGGATGCCTATTTAAACTAATAGTCATTTTCCTGCTTCTCAGAACCTTGGATTTACTGACCTGTACCAGAAACTAGAACATTCTCTAGAAACTTTTGTGTGTTCTTTAAATAACATACAATAGCTAAATGATAGCTGTTGATGTATAAAACTTTACAAGTTCTCTCTCCGAAGCTGTGTCCGGAATATAAGTGTAACGTTGAAAATATGGCATTTAGGTTACCAAAATACCTATTGAAGCTTTATGATAAATATTTGAAATTCAGTGTTTTGGTAAGTTTTGAATTATTGTGTTTTGTTATCTTTTGAAGTGGGAAATGAATGAGCTGTTTCTAATCGACTTTATATTCTGGGTAATCTACAATGTGTATATTGCACTGTAGTTCATAGGTAATGCTATTGGCTAGTTCCTGGAAACTCTCAAAAAAGAATCTTCACTCTCTCTTGTATTAGAAAAAGCTACAGCTTCCTTTATTTGCCACACGATGGCAGTCTTGCATCTTAAATTAGGTGACAGGTAGTCCAAGTTAATAGAGGTTCACATTTTCAGGATGTTTGTTGCCAAAAATCTAAACATTGGTAATTTTCAACCTGGAAGCTAGTTATTTTTAAGGTTCATTTGCAAGCCAACCCTTTGCGCTTGAAACATATTTTCTATGGAACGATGCTACAAATGCTGGGTAGGTTTCTAAATTAACCTAACTTATTTAACCTTAAGTCCCAATTTGTTCTTTGACTTGTTTCACACTTTACCTTGTAATTTTTAAAACTATTTAAAAAATTGTTGGGGCACCTGGGTGGCTCAGTCGGTTAAGCGGCCGACTTCGGCTCAGGTCATGATCTCGCGGTCCATGAGTTTGAGCCCCGCGTCAGGCTCTGTGCTGACAGCTCAGAGCCTGGAGCCTTTTTCAGATTCTGTGTCTCCCTCTCTCTGACCCTCCCCTGTTCATGCTCTGTCTCTCCCTCTCTCAAAAATAAATAAAACGTTAAAAAAAATTTTTTTTAATTGTGGAAACTTTTACACATCAATATTATAGTTTACAGTTTTAAAAAATTTGTAATATAGAGAAATGTAAGAAAATAGATGTATACATTATAAATTTGGGGTTTTGGCTTTTCTTATATTTTAATTTTCAGATGTCCTTTCTTTCTCTAAATTTTTAGCTTCAGTTGTGGAGGGTCAAAAGGGTATCATTCCTCGAGCTATCCAAGAAATATTTCAAAACATCTCTGAAAATTCTAGCACTGACTTTAATATCAAAGTGTCTTATATAGAAGTATATAAGGAAGACCTAAGAGATCTTCTAGAATTGGAAACATCTATGAAGGATCTTCACATCCGAGAAGATGAAAAAGGAAACACAGGTAAATAGCATTGACTGCCTTCATTACCAAAAAGATGTGATTTAATTCAGTTTCTGGATATATTGCAAAGAATCTTTAAAACAGACATAGAAGCAAAAGGAATTTGTTTTTTCTTTAAAATTGAATACCTTTTTGATTCCCAATATCCATTAAATCACCCAGGTGAAAAGTAGTTCAGACTGGTTGGTTAGATGAAGTTAGTAAGTTGTAATTCAAGATACTTATATTCTATAATTGTTCCCGCTCTGGGCTGAAGATCAGTGAGACTTTGAAATAGGCTAAATTAGTATTTGTACTTTTTTTTCTCCCAGAGTTTCTCCCAGATTGGAGATGGCTCCTCCCTTTCGTGTTTGTCCAAGTCGATCTAGAATTCTCCTTTTGTCCTCTTTGATTTTGTCCTGTACTTTGTTGTATTTTTCAAGATCTGACTTTCTATGCTAGCAACTTGTTAATCTCATTAAATATCAATTTGTTTGGAAATGGGAGAAGGTTCGAATGGGTCAAAATGCAAGTATTTTAAAGAATAGCACCTCCTGCTTTTCTGATTTAAAGGGTTATATGTTCAACATAGAACATTTTGAAAACATAGAAAAGTTTAAGGAAGAAAGTTATTAAAGATCAGCTTTAATCCCAGAACCCAGAAAAAGTAACTTCTGTTTTTGGTGTGTTTCCTTCCAGATTTCTTTTCCCATGCATGTATAATTTTTTTTAATATACTTGCAACCCTACATATAGCATCGCATCTTATTTTTTCATGTAATATTTATATGGTGAGCATTTTCACACAACATTAAATATTTCTCAAAGTTATGAGTCTTCATGGTCATGTGGTAATTTGTCTTCTAAATGTATTATACTTTAATATTCCATTGTTGGACATTTAAGCAGTTTCCAGAGTTTCATTATTATTAACAACAATGACTTAGATGTGTTTCTAAGAAAGGATACTTAGGTAGAACCTTCTTGGAGAAAAAGGATCCTGCTTGAGGAGTGTCCCCTTGAGGGAATCTCCTCGCAGTAGGAATGTAAGGTTGTTCAAACTGCCTGCAGGGGGCAGTGAAGTTTGTTGCCTTTTTAGCCCTGGCTTGGCAGCCCTGGAATTCCTCAATGTTTGAAAAAATTGGTTTTTGTTTTGTTTTTAATTTTTTTTTTACATTTATTTATTTTTTGAGAGAGAGAGAGACAGAGTACAAGTGGGGGAGGGGCAGAGAGAGGGGGAGACACAGAATCCGAAGCAGGCTCCAGGCTCTGAGCTGTCAGCACAGAGCCCGACGCAGGGCTCGAACCCACGAACTGCAAGATCATGACCTGAGCTGAAGCCGGTCGCCTAACCGACTGAGCCACCCAGGCACCCCTGTTTTGTTTTTTAGAAAGAAAGCATACATGGTAGTCTATGGTCTTATTAGATAATTCAGTGTAGTTTATCTTTTCTGGACAGAATCTAGGGCAGTGTTTTGAGCTTCTGTATCATATAAAAGGTAATTCTTGAATGTTTTTATTTTTTGTTAAAGATACAAAAATAATACATATTTATGGTAAAATAGCCCATATGCTGTCACCCCTGATAAACTTAATAGCTGTTATCAGTCCTGCAAAAGTTTTGGAAAGATGTGACAAATGCTCTTAAGACAAATTGCCGTATGTTTTATACGGTATTCCACTCACAACCAAAATGTATTTCTTTGATATCCTTATTTAGTTCCTTCGTGTAAAGCACTGGTTGGCATCCAACCTGGATGCTGCACAATTAGCATCACCATGGAAGCTTTTTAAAAAATACTGATTTCCAGGGGCGCCTGGGTGGCTCAGTTGGTTAAGTGACCAACTTCAGCTCGGGTCATGATCTCGCAGTTTGTGAGTTCGAGCCCCGCGTCGGGCTCTGTGCTGACAGCTCAGAGCCTGGAGCCTACTTCAGATTCTGTGTTTCCCCCTCTCTCTACCCCTCCCCTGCTCATGCTCTCTGTCTCTCTCTCTTTCAATAATAAATAAACATTTAAAAGTTAAAAAAAAACTGATTTCTGGGCCCTGCTTTTCAGAAATCCTGATGAATTTGTCTGATCGGGCCTGGGCATCAGTACTTTCTCTTTTATAAAGCTTCCAGATGATTTGCAGATAGGTTTGAGGACCATGGATAGTGCTAAGCTGTAGCCTAACATTAAAAAACTTTATGAAAGTTATCCTTTGATTTACAGTTGCATTGTCATACTTTATAATTGGTGATATGTTAGCATTCCCTGTTTGTAGTATAAGTACTTTAGAACTTTCAATGAACTAGGTTGTTAAGAAAGTGTCATGATGGAAATAATGAAAGCAAAATGATTATTTTTCAAGAAAACAGTGACATAATTGGATCTGAATAAAGAGGAACCATGGCTCTGTAATTCAAGCACAGAATCAGGAACTTTATGACTCTGATTCAAAGCCCAAATCCACCTTCTTCTTTTTGAAATATGTTTGGATAGGGGCGCCTGGGTGGCGCAGTCGGTTAAGCGTCCGACTTCAGCCAGGTCACGATCTCGCGGTCCGTGAGTTCGAGCCCCACGTCAGGCTCTGGGCTGATGGCTCAGAGCCTGGAGCCTGTTTCCGTTTCTGTGTCTCCCTCTCTCTCTGCCCCTCCCCCGTTCATGCTCTGTCTCTCTCTGTCCCAAAAATAAATAAACGTTGAAAAAAAATTAAAAACAAAAAAGAAATATGTTTGGATATAAACAAATAATGTGGGTGGTAAGCTTTGTTTTATTTTTGGCTCTTATTCTGCTGTTGTTGAAATAGAAACTTTTTTGCTTTTTGTGAATTGCCAACATGTTTGTTTATCTTATACTCATATTACGTAGGTTAAGCCTGTTTTTAAAATGAATAGCCAATTTATTTATACTGAAATCTTCATGTATTGTTGGTTATGACCACACAGTACCAAAACCCTTAAACCTAAGGATGGTTTGAAGACTCAAAAGAAACTGATTTCTTTTAATTAATCTACTACTAGTTAATTCTTTTGAGTTAATATTTAATTAATCTATTTAAATAAGTCTGTTAGACTCTATAAGTCAAAATACTGGATTAAAGGGTTTTTCTTTTCTCAGTCATCTTAAAGAATTGAGTGTGATATGTACTCCAAAGAAACCAGATTGTTTAACACACACACACACACATATATAATATCTTTTAGAATTTAAATATCAAAATGAGTGCTGTCTATTAAAATAGTTCCTTTGGGAGATTATCCAAAATTACTTAATGATATTGCTGTCACTATTGTTTGAAATGCTCTTGATTTTTTAAGACACGTTCTTAGCCTGGGAAGTTTAGCAAATAATAACTGTTGTGGTTAAGTTTAACTCTACTGGGTTTTGATTAAAATTTGGTTTAAAAACTTGCTGTTGCTATTTTAAGTGATTGTTGGGGCCAAGGAATGTCACGTGGAGAATGCAGATGAGGTGATGAGTCTCCTGGAGATGGGGAATGCAGCCAGGCATACAGGTACCACCCAAATGAACGAGCACTCCAGTAGATCACATGCAATTTTTACAATCAGCATTTGTCAAGTAGAGAAAAATACAGAGGCAGCTGAAGATGGATCGTGGTATTCCCATCGGCATATTGTCTCAAAGTTCCACTTTGTGGATTTGGCGGGCTCGGAAAGAGTAACTAAAACCGGGAATACTGGCGAACGGTTCAAAGAATCCATTCAGATCAACAGTGGGCTGTTGGCTTTAGGAAATGTAATCAGTGCTCTTGGGGACCCACGCAGGAAGAGCTCCCATATTCCATATAGGGACGCTAAAATCACCCGGCTTCTGAAAGATTCCTTGGGAGGCAGTGCCAAGACTGTCATGATCACTTGCGTCAGCCCATCCTCCTCAGATTTTGACGAGTCCTTAAATTCCCTCAAATATGCCAACAGAGCACGCAATATTAGAAACAAACCCACCTTAAACTTCAGCCCCGAGTCTGACCGTATGGACGAAATGGAATTTGAAATCAAGTTGCTTCGAGAAGCTCTGCAAAGCCAGCAGGATAGCATCAGCCAAACCAGCCAGATCCATCAAGAGGGGACTCCTGATAAAAACAGGATCCGGTCTCTTGAGGAGCAAGTAGCTCAGCTACAAGGAGAGTGTCAGAGTTACCAAACCTGTGTAGAGGAAGCCTTTACCTTCCTGGCGGACTTAAAGGGTGCTGTCAGACTGAACCAAAAGCAGCAACACAAACTGCAGGAGTGGTTTACCATGACCCAGGATGTCAGGAAGGCGGTGTTCACCTCGTTCAGAGGGAGCCACGGCGTCGGCAACCTGGAAGAAGGACCACAGCATGTGACAGTTCTCCAGCTGAAGCGAGAGCTTAGGAAATGCCAGGTATGTAGACACCACTTCCGTTAGTGACTTGTTTAAGGACTCCGTTTATTTGGGCAAGGGTCATTTTGGGATTCCAGAAGTTTTTAAAAAGGATTATATGTAAATTCTCATTTGCCTTTTGCTCAGTCTCTTTTTCCCTTTTCCTACTGCTTTGTCCTCATTTTCCTTTCTCTTTTAATATTTTTTTAATTTTTTTAAGTTTATTCATTTCGAGAGACAGAGCAAGTGGGGGAGGGGTAGAGAGAGAGGGAGAGAGAGAATCCCAAGGAGGCTCCACAATGTCAGCACAGAGCCTGACACAGGATTCAAAGTCCGGAAACTTGAGACCATGACCTGAGCCGAAACCAAGAGTCAGATGCTTAACCGACTGAGCCACCCAGTTGCCCCTCTCTTTCAGTATTTTAACTTGTTACATTTATGAAGTAGAATCTTGGGGACCTGGTCATTAATTTAGAGGGTGAAGAGAAACATAATTTCAGAAACAAAATGAAGTACTTTATTGAGTTTTTATCCCTCTTTGGGTCAGTGGTTCTTGAAGAAAAAAAAAAAAAACTTCACCCCTTGAGTGTGGAATGTTGAGTTTTTTTAAAAAGTTTGTTTATTTATTTTGAGAGAGTACAGTGGGGGAGGGACAGAGAGAGAGGGAGAGAGAGAATCGTAAGCAGGCTCTGTGTTGTCACTGCAGAGCCTGATGTGGGTTCGAACACATGAACTGCGAGATCGTAACCTGAACTGAAATCAAGAGTCAGAGGCTTAAGTGACTACTGAGCCACCCAGGCACCCCGGAATGTTGATTTTTTTTTTAAACAAACAAAATCATTGTATGTGACAATATTTAAGGGATGTATGTACATGTGTACATATTACATATATGTACATTGAGTTCCGAAATATATTTGTCACTTTCCATTCAAAAACCTGAAGATTTCGTGTCCCTAGGGAAATCATGGAAAACAAGATGTACCTATTCTGCTTACGTGGAGTTTGCATTCTGTTGGGCAAATAGGTATTCTGCCAGTTTTTGAAAATAGGAAAACAGCTTTCTTTCTTTTTTTTTTTTTAATGTTTATTCATTTTTGAGAGAGACAGAGACAGAATGCAAGTGGGTTAGGGGCAGAGAGAGAGAGGGAGACACAGAATCCAAAGCAGGCTCCAGGCTCTGAGCTGTCACCATAGAGCCCAACACAGGGCTTGAACTCACAAACCGCAAGATCATGACCTGAGCCAAAGTCAGATGCTTAACCGACTGAGCCACCCAGGTGCCCTGAAAACAGCTTTCTAGTTAGAAATCTTTCCTCTGTACCTCTTTATATGTATTAGAAAGAAACCTCTATTGCAGCAGTTCTTGAACTTTTTATTCACAAGGTTTTTTTTTTTTAATATTATTTATTTTTGAGAGAGAGCACAAACAGGGGAGGGGCAGAGAGAGAGGCAGAGGATCCGGAGTGGGCCTAATAGCACTACACTGATAGCAGAGAGCCCAATGGGGAGCTCGAACCCACAAACCGCGAGATGAGTTGAAGTCAGACACTTAACTGACTGAGCCACCCAGGTGCCCATACAAGGTTTTTTTTTTTTTTTATGTTTTTAAAATTGAGGTCCCCTAAAGAGCTTTTGTTTATGTGGGTTGTATCTATTGATATTTACCATATTAGAATTAAAATACAAAATTTTAAGCTATTAATTCACTCAAAATAATAACCCAATGGTTAAGTAAAAACATTTTTTCATGAAAAATAACTATTTTCCAAATAAAAAAACTTAATAAAAGTGGAATTGTTGTACATTTTTACAAATCTCTTTTAATGTCTGGCTTAATAGAGGATGTGTGGATTTTCATATCTGCTTTGGCATACAGTTTGTTGCAATATGTTGTTTTAGTTGAAGTACATGAAGAACATCCAGCCTCATTTAGATTTGTAATTGGAAAGAGGAACATTTTAATTTTTTTTCAGATAACTATGGATATTATTCTTTGTTATTGCACCAAAACTCAACAAGTAGCGGCATCCTAAAGGTTACTTGCAATGTGGGATTTGAAACTATTTTTGTTATGTTAAGATCTGTACATTAAAATTTTTATTTTTATCTTGCTTTTTTTTTTTAAGAGAGAGAGAAAGAGCACGTGCGCGCGCAAGCAGGAGAGGGGCAGCAGGAGAGGGAGAGAGACTCTCCAGCAGGCTTCACTCCCAGCACAGAGCCTGTCACAGGGCTCCATCTCACAACTGTGAGATCGTGACCTGAGTGGAAATCAAGAGTCAGTTGTTTGACCGACTGAGCCACCCAGGCTCCCCTTTATCTTGTACTTTGAATGGATCTTTCATCCACGTGATTTTCAATCATCACCCATCGATCATTTGGAAAATATTTGTTTACTAAGTTATGTGCATCTTCCAATCAAGGGGCAGAAAGAGAGGGAGAGAGAGAATCAAGACTTGGACGCTCAACTGACTGAGCCACCCAGGCACCCTATCTCACAACGTCTGATACTTAAATATAAGCATTTAAAATCATAACTTTAAAATAATGGAGTTTAAAATTTTTGTTTTGAAGTAATCTGCCCCCAATATGAGGCTTGAACTCATGACCTTGAGAGCAAAAGTTGCATGCTGTATTGACTGAGCCGTCCAGGTTCCCCAAAAATCATGGATTTTTTTTTTTTAAAGCAGTAACTCTGCTCTACCTTCTTCATAATAGAGCAGGCCTGATCCTTCCTGTTTGGCATAAGAAAGTGGCAGAACAGGAAATACAGTTGATGGGAAGCTTGAACTTTGGAGCACTATAGGAGTTGACAATAAGGAGTACTTCATCCTTCTAAGGTGGCTGAAATGGAAGCCCATAAAACCCCCTGATTGCGGATGGCGGGGTAGTAAGTTTTTCTCTCCATCTGTTGGAAATTCTGAATTAACTTCCTCTAGATTATGTACTCTAGATTAAGATTTCCCAAGGATATTAACAAGTCTTTTTGTTGTTGTTGTTGTTAACGTTTATTCACTTTTTGAGAGAGAGAGACAGAGTGTGAGCAGGGCAGGGGGCAGAGAGAGAGAGAGACACAGAATCGGAAGCAGGTTCCAGGCTCCGAGCTGTCAGCACAGAGCCCAACGTGGGGCTTGAACTCACAAACTGTGAGATCATGACCTGAGCTGAAGTCAGATGCTTAACTGACTGAGCCACCCAGGAGCCCCAGGATATTAACAGTCTTGAAGAAAAAGGGCACCATGATCAGATGGCTTTAGGGAATGCTAGATTACAAAAATCTCAAGACTTCTCAGAACTTTCAAAGTGCTAGTGTAATTAATCTCAGTGTGAAAGATACAATATTCAGTATTTCCCAATTAAAAAATAGATTTTTTTTTTTTTTGGTCTGAAGTCTTGCAGGAGTAGTAATCTTGGATACCACTAAATAGCAAATAGAGAAATGATTGCTGTCATTCCTCACCCCATATGTCTCCTTAAAAAGTTGTTTTCTAGGGGTGCCTGGGTGGCTCCATTGGTTAAGCATATGGCTTTGGCTCAGGTCATGATCTGGCAGTTTGTGAGTTCGAGCCACGCATCGGGCTATGTGCAGACAGCTCAGAGCCTGGAGCCTGCTTCAGATTCTGTGTCTCCTATCTCTCTGCCCCTCTCCTGCTTGCTCTCTCTCTCTCTCTCTCTCTCTCAAAAATAAATAAACAAAAAAAATTAAAAAGTTTTCTAGACTTTCTGTTTGAGACAGAATAACATAGTGGTTAAGAACATTGGTACCAAACTCCTAAGATTTGAATTCCAACTCCTTTGCTTACTTGCTCTGTGACTTTGGGAAAATACTTAACCTCTCTGTGCTAATTAAACAATAATAGGGGCGCCTGGGTGGCGCAGTCGGTTAAGCGTCCGACTTCAGCCAGGTCAGGATCTCGCGGTCCGTGAGTTCGAGCCCCGCGTCGGGCTCTGTGCTGACAGCTCGGAGCCTGGAGCCTGTTTCCGATTCTGTGTCTCCCTCTCTCTCTGCCCCTCCCCCATTCATGCTCTGTCTCTCTCTGTCCCAAAAATAAATAAATGTTGAAAAAAAAATATTAAAAAAAAATAAAAAATAAAAATAAAAAAAACAATAATAACAAGCACGTTGTAGGGTTCCTGTGAAGATTATTAAAACACTAGTTCCCATAAAACGATGAGAAGGCTGCCTGGCCTGGAGTAAGGCTCAATAAAGGCAGCTCATTATTATCTCTCATTTATTTTTCACCTACCTAGCTCATTATTATCTCTCACCTATTTTTCACCTGCTGAGGTTATGTATCAGTGGCAGCTAAGTGATTGGACTTAGCTGTACCTGGGGCCACATGCCAGGGGTTACTGTGAAGTCAGCTTGATAAACTACTTAGCAAGACAGCAGGTCTGTGCAGGGAGAGGCATGGACATTCTCTTTGCTCAGCCCTGCTTCCTTGAGCCTGTTACACAAGCAGGTAAGTACTTAAAAATAAAATTCCTAGCCAACAGGAGATCATGGGCCATATCACAGGTAGAATTACCACCAGATTTTTGCTAAGGAAGTGTCACTTTGAACTTCACCATCTTCTCCTTGTTAGATGCTGTCAGGTAGTGTTTCTGTTTTTTTGTTTTTAATTTTTTTTTAATGTTTACTTTTGGGAGAGAGAGAGAGAGAGAGAGAGAGAGAGAGAGCATGCAAGTAGGGGAGGGGCAGAGAGAGAGGGAGACAGGATCTGAAGCAGACTTTGTGCCAGCAGCAGACAGCCTGATGTGGGACTTGAACTCATGAACCATGAGATCATGACCTGAGCCGAAGTTGGACACTTAACCCACTGAGCCAGCCAGGTGCTCCTGTGTCAGGTAGTGTTGTAATCCTTGGTTTTTGCCATTGGTCAATTACTGGAATACTCCATATCCTAATAAACACCTCTTGAAGGACTTTGTTGCCTTTTTATTCCAAATTTTGAATACGAGAGCAGTATGTGAACATGAATTTACTCAACAGTTAAACACTTGAAATAAATAATAAATAATATAGCTGTAGTCTGTAAAGCATATGTAAAAATAGTTGAATATGCAGTACTACGTGACAAATTACATTTTAAGCTCAAATGTACAGTTTACCATGGGAGAGGATATTAACCAATGAGAATTATAGTTTAATCTCATTTTATGAAAGAAGTCACATAGGTCATATGTAAACATATGAAAATAAGGACCATCGGGGTCATGTGTCCTCTCCTCATTTGGTCACTTGAGGATCCCAAGCAGAGAAAAGAAGGGACTTGCCCTAAGTGGTGCTACAAGGCTGTGGCAAATCAAGGCTGGCCTTGGTCTATGGGTTCTCTGTACAGGGACCCATCTACCCCTCTATGCCATTGCCTGAGTAGTCACGTACATACTCTGTTTTTGTGAATTAAATCTTACTTGTAAAGGGAACACTATTTTTGTAAATCAGCTCTTGTTCTTGTGTTTTCCTATAGTTTAGTAGAAAGAGCATGGGGTTTGATCCAGAAAGACCCTGGGATTGAAGGTCAGGAGTTTGGTTTATCTACTGGGTCATCTTGGGAAAAGGTTTTAATCTCTTGGTTTCTTCATGAAAAAAGAATCATGTCTATTCAGTGAGATTTTTTAAATGTATTTTTAATGTTTGTTTGTTTATTTATTTGTTTATTTATTTATAAATGTTTATTTATTTTTGAGACAGAGAGAGACAGAGCATGAACGGGGGAGGAGCAGAGAGAGAGAGGGAGACACAGAATCCGAAGCAGGCTCCAGGCTCTGGGCTGTCAGCACAGAGCCCGACGTGGGGCTTGAACTCATGAACTGTGAGATCATGACCTGACCTGAAGTCGGACACTGAACTGACTGAGTCACCTAGGCGCCCCACAGTGAGATATTTTTAAAATGTCAAGTCACTATCTAGCATAAAATACACTTTAAAAAAATTATTTATTTATTTTGAGAGAGAGAGAGGGAGGGGGAGAGAGAGAGGGAGAGAAACCCAGGCAAAACTCTGCACTCTCAGTTTAGAGGCCAACGCGGGGCTCAATCCCATGAACTGTGAGACCGTGACCTGAACTGAAATCAAGTCGGACACTTAACCAACTGAGCCACCCAGGTGCCCCTAGCATAAAATTCACTCAACAAATATTAAATTTCTTTCAGTTTATTTAATTTAAAAATTGTTTTAAAAGTATTACTTGCATATCTCAAGTTTATTTGAAAACAGGCATAATTCATTGGAAATTAAGAAAACTGTTTAACCATATTTTTAGATATCTTCAAAATATCTCTTCATAGTGAAAGTGCATAAAATTACCAAATATTTGGGGCGACTGAGTGACTCAGTCAGTTAAGTGTCTGACTTTGGCTCAGGTCATGATGTCATGGCTTGTGGGTTCGAGCCCCGCATCAGGCACCGTGCTGACAGCTCAGAGCCTGGAGCCTGCTTTGGATCTTGTGTGTGTCTCTCTCTGCTCCTTCCCTGCTTGTGCTCTCTCTCTCTCAAAAATAAACATTAAAAATAATTTTTTTTGAATTACCAAATATTCTTTATTTAAAAGATCCAAATGTGTTCTTAACTCTATAGGTCAGTTTGGAAAATGTGACCTCTTTGATTTTTAAAAACCCACATTTAAAAGTCTCATGGCAAAAAAAAAAAAAAAAAAA